GCTTTCCCACTAAAGCCTCGGGACATCCAGTTGCTTTGGGGACAAGGGTCCCCCTTCACCTGGTGCCAGTTTTAGTCTTGGTGGGGGGCTGTTAGCCCTGCTTGCATTTCCAGTGACTCCTCACCCCTCTCCAATTGCACCTTGTTTTTGTCCCTGAAGAAGTGATGGGTCCCTAAGGAGCTGGGATGGGATGAGAGGCCACCATGGAAGGGCCTAGGAATCAAAATGAAACAAGCCCGGTCAGCGGGGCTACATTCTTGCTGGGCCACTGATCTCACTTGAGTGGAGGAAGGAGGCAGAATCTTCAACCTAGGAGAGCAGGGCAGGCCCTGGCAGAGGGGACTCACGCTTGAGAGATCCGCTGTGACAGACAGCAAATCTTTACTCTTGGACCCATGTAAGCGGCCCTTTCGCTTGCCCACCACTTTCTGGGGTCCTATCCTTAGCTAGAGCAAGACTCTGTAGCTCACTACTACACAGTCCGGCACATAGTAGGCCCTCAATAAATATTTGTTGAATGAATGAGATGCGATTCAAAGCCAAGAACAGATTTGGGGCATTTCTGAATCTTTCATGTCACCATCTCCACCGGAGACCCGGGTTCGAGAGTTTCCTGGGGTCTAGGTCCCCTGACAAGGGCAGGTGGTGGGACCTCACCTCGGAGTCTAATAGAAAGCTAATTATGTGTCTGTGAGGGACCCAGAACTTCCCTTTAATACAGAGAGCGCCTTGTCCCATCAGCTCTCGGGGATCCTGAGCTCCCCAGCTCAGGAGCCGCTCAGCAGCTGCTGGGTCCTCGGTTCCCTCCTCACTGCCATCAGACGCAGACATGGGCAGTGTCACGGACTCGGCACTCAGCTGCGTGTGACTGCGTTTCTGCCTAGATCCCAGTGCTCCGGGATCCTGGCCCCTGCTGACCTCTTCGACTTTATCTCCCGTCCCCATGCCGTCCCTCAACAGGCCATCCTAACGCCTTTTCATTTAAGCCTTTTCTGGCTAAATTATCTTTTCTTGACTGTAATATCCATCCCGCTGTCACAGAGACCTGGTGTTGACAACACCGAGTGATAGAAATCTAGAAATGCCACTCTGTCTTGGACTTCTGTTTATGAAAGAGCAAACCTCACCAAGCCCGCCTGCCCCTCCTGGCACTGCTGGGCAGCCTCAGAAGAGGCTCCATCCTTTGCTCTCCTAGGACACGAGTGTCATGGAGAGGTGGCCCTTAGGAGGTGGCCAGGGCCTTATCTCGCCTGTGCCTTGTCCCAGCCTCCATCTTACATGAAGAAGCTGAGGTCCTGCACAGGACATATTCTAGAAATATTCCGAGCAGATTCCTCCTGCCCTTGTCCTTGCCACTGTCCAGCTAGCAGGGGTCGCAGAGGTACTGGGCAGGTCACCTCATGGGGGAATGAGAAGCCACAGGACTGGACAGGGGGTATAGAGAGCTTCCCTCAGCCTCCTGGGTCTTTGGCTCAAAGACAACCCTTAGGTGTCCTAAGAGGGCTCCACTTATGTGCCATTGGCGGGACTTGGGGGTGTATGTGTGTGTGCGCTATTTGTTGGTTAAGGAGCATCCTGTCCCCAACTCCTATGGACTGCCTGCACTGTGGAAGTCCCGGCCCCCAGCTTATCCTTATTGACATAACAGAAGAAACAAATTAATTTTTTGATAGCTCTGGGTCTTCTCTATATAAGGCCAACTCCTATGTAAACACTGACCAATAAAACCCAGCAGGTATTTGAGACATGTCCACCATGAGAAGCAAAAAGGCCATTTCTGTCCTTTTCTCAGTGGGTGCCGCAGAAGGAATAAAGCATATTTGGTGGGAAATGTTCATTTTACAAAAATTTTGAATTCTTCTATGTTCCCCTGCCCCCACCAAGAAGTTTCAGGCCCTGCCCTGGAAAAAGAAATTTTCAGTTCTCTAACCCATACATTTTACTCTAAAAATGTCCTCTTTCCGTGACTGGGATTAAAGCGGCTCAGCGGTGAGCGCTTGCCTAGGAGTCTTGAGGGTCTAGGCTCCATCCTATGACCAAAAAAGGAAAAAGTTCACCAAAATCAGTAGACTTGATTTCTCTCCCTTAGAAGTTTTCAAGTTAGATTTAGGTGAATTTTATTTTGAAGTTCAGGAAAGGATGTATTCCTCATGTAAAAGTATCCACCAACAAACAGCACTGGCCAGAGTCGTGAGCTGGCTGTGGGGTGACCCCGAGAGTGAGGAGCCCCTAACTGACCACACAGCCGAGGGCCGGGAGCTCTCCTGTCTGGGTCACGTTGTCACTGAACATGGCTTGTGTAGTGTCCGAGTAGTGTTAGCTATTCGTCTGGAACCCCGAGCCGAGGTTCCTGTCTGGGGTGAATGGTCAGATACACAGGGAGTTCCTAAACTTGTAGGCAGTACAAGGACATGCTTTTCACTAATGTTGTACACGTACCCCCAAATCAGTCCTGCCCCCCAGCCCCAGCCCCACATCAAAAGGGGCTTTTGGTCCTGTTGCTTTTTAATGGCATCATTCCCATGCTTTAGCTAAAGTTAGAGGGTCAGTGGCATACAGAAAGCCAGTGACTGTGGCTTCCGAGTGCTGGTTCCTTTCATTCCTGGGTGGCCTGGGCCAGGACCAGCACCCTGAATGAGAAAACCTCAAGAATCAGACTTCTGAGAGCTGGGCATGATGGCGCATGCCTTTAGTCTCAGCACTAAGGGAGGCAGAAGCAAGAGGATCTCTACGTTTGAGGCCATCCTGGTCTACGTAGTGAGTTCCAGGAAAGCCAGGGCTATGGAGAGAAATCCTGCTCAAAAGATAACTCCCCCTCTCCCCAGGGGAAAAAGGTAGGGGAAAGAATCAGACTCCTGGAAGTATCCTGGTCCACAGGCAGGCATTGAGGAGTTTCTGCTGGCCTTGCCCTATCCAAGTGGGTCTGCTGTTGCCTTTTTTTTTTTTTTTTTTAAGCTTCCATAATAGGTCCTGCCTCTATAGGGATGAAATCCAATGTCTCTGGAGTGAGGTGTCAGGGCTCGGCCTTCCCCGAACACCCATTTCCACACGGGGGCCCTTCCGTGGTTTCTGCTTTGCGCTGCTGATGTCCCCAACACTTGCCCGTGCCCTGCCCCTCCACAGAAAGGCCCTCTCCAAACACCCCATCTGAAGTAGGGTGGCCCGGCCCCATTCCTGTGACTTCTGCATGTCTTTCCTTCGGGGCACTTCAAGTTCTGTGCGTTTCTGTGCTAGCTAGGCTCTTTGGGCCCTGTCGGCCAGTCTGTGTAACCAAGTCCTCTGTAACTGCGACTCGCGCTCACAAATGTTCATTCGCTCAGTGAGCTAGGAAGGTCTTCGGCCTTGGTGCTGGGGCCCTAGGCGCCGCCGCCGGCGGTGTGTCCGGCCACCCACAAGGCTGTTGCCCAGCCCAGGCTGGCAAGGACGAAGGAAAGGCCTGTTTCTGAGATTGTCCTGGTCTGCAGAGGACCCAGCTCTGAGGAAGAGGCAGCCGCCTCCTCCCTCCCTGCCCAGTTCTCAGGCCCCTCAGGCCTCGCTGCTGGAGGCTGCAGCAGCGCCCAGGGCCCGACTGCCTTGCAGCTCCAGGGTTGGCCGTTGGGAAAGCGTTGGGAGCGCCCATCCCCCTCCACACCCCATCTCCATGGATACCCACGCTCTCCCCACCCCCACCCCAGTCACGGAGGCGGCCCCCATTGCAGGCCCTGTGTGGCAGCCACTCACAAAGCCACCGTGTGCTCACAGACCCTTCTCCAGAGAAGTGGCCAGAAGAACTAGGGAGGGGCGTGGGGGTGTTGGAATGTTTGCTGCTGGGTCAGCCTTGTTCTTTGCAGCCCCGCCCTCCTCCTTTTGATCCTGAAGGCCCAGAGGTTTCCCCTTGGGGCCTATTCCATGTAACCTGAGGCCGTGGCTTTGGGGACTGCTTCCCTCCCGCACTTCAGCTTAAGGTGCCTCCTCTTTACTCTTTGCCTGGAAAACTGAAAGAACATTGCGTAGACCTCAGCTTACACCCTACCCCAGACCACGCCACACTTAAGCCTGTCAGGGAGGCTGAGGGTGTGAGATCTCCTGTGCCCAGCACAAGATCCAAAGGTTTACAGCGCCTTCATGCTGAGGCTGATCAACCTGCAAGCAGACCTCTGGGGTAGCAGTCACCAAGACCACGTGGCAGAGCTGCCTTCTCCAATGACCACAGGATGGAGGCCCATTCCTGGGTCTTCCAGGCCTGTGCAGTCAGCATCTCTGGCTCATTATCTCAAATCCCGACACTGGTCCCTGTGGTGGTCAGGGACACTGGGACCAGTGGTTCCCATACTTGCCTGGGACACACAAACAGCCACATACAATACACCCCTAAGGTCTCTCGTCCATCTACTCACAAGCCTAGTTTGGATTTTTTTTTTTCTGATAAATTTTGTTCCAGAAAATAAGAAAACAAACCGATAAAAACCAAGACAACAAGCCGGGCGGTGGTGGCGCACGCCTTTAATCCCAGCACTCGGGTGGCAGAGGCAGGCGGATCTCTGTGAGTTCGAGGCCAGCCTGGTCTCCAAAGTGAGTTCCAGGAAAGGTGCAAAGCTACACAGAGAAACCCTGTCTCGAAAAACAAAAAAACAAACAAACAACAAAAAAAAAACCAAGACAACAAAACAAAACACAGAGCACTGGTCAAATCCCTCTCAGGGCCGCTCAGACTCCAGAGCCAAGGAGAAAGGACAAGTGACGGAAGAAGCATTTCCTGAGGGTTAGAGCTGGAGGGGATAGAGGCCCTGCCACTGTGGGAAGCCCAGTGTGGACCCCAGCCCAGCTGTGGCCTGCGTGTGTGTGTGTGTGTGTGTGTGTGTGTGTGTGTGTGTGTGTGTGTGTATGTGTGTGTGTGCGCTTATATCTGCTGTACATGTATATTTGTATCTATGTCTGTGTATGTTGTACTGTGTGTGTCTGTATGTGCTGTTGTGTGTGTGCGCTTAACCTGTTTTCTCCTAAATCTCCCTGGGGGGTAGGGCATGCCAGAAGAGGGTGCCAGATTGCCTGGAGTTATGGCAGTTGTGAGCAGCCCCGTGGATGCTGGAAATTAAGCCCTGAGCCTCTGGAAGAGCAGCAAATGCAGTCATACTCTTGCCCAGCCTGGTTGGACATACCTGCCATCCTAACACGGGGAGGTAAGGCCCTGTTTCAAAACAAAGCCCTCAGATGCAAGCAAAACTCAAGACGGTTCTGTGGAGTGAGCTGCATGGGGAAGCTCACTCCTCTGCCAGATAGCTGCCTGGCTCCATGCCTGGCTCCTGGGCCCTCCAGTGAGCTGTGAGGGCACCTAGGGGTAGGCCAGCTGTGGGCATACTTGCTCAGCTGCTTCTTATGCCCAGTGTGCAGACAAAAGCTGGCGTTGTCTTCATATGTCGAGACAGCGTTGCTCTGAGTTCAGATAGGGTGTGCCTGGAATTCAGAGGCTGCTGAGTGAGCTAGGAGGGAAAGTCCCATCTGTGTAGAGAAGCACCCGCGGGTGCTGGCAGTGCTGAAGGGCGGGCTGTGTGGGATCTACGGGGCTACTGGAGGCTTCCCTGTAGCTCTCAAAAGAGGTACGAAGGACCCGTATGTGGACTCTGAGACGGGCTATGGTGGCAGGAACCGGGTCAGCCTGAGCTAGCCGTGAGTGGATGACAGATGCTGCCACCACACACGTGCCTTCTCTGACCAGACCCCTGTGTCTGTAGTATGTGTGAGGAGCTCTCTGCTGGCCTTGCAGCAGACGCTGGCTGTGTGGCTCAGTGGGAGAAGGATTTCTTACACACACACACACACACACACACACACACACACACACACACACACACACGAGTCTCTTCTGGTTCCTATCCCCAGCACTTGGAACAGTCAGTCGGTGCGGAGAAGAAAGGACCCTTCACATGGCAGTGTCCAGACGCCGGTGCCAGCTGGTGGCACAGGGATCAGCTTGCTTGGGAAGGAGGATGGAGGTAAGGCTCTGCTGGCTCCTGATGCCTGTCTGTCTGTCCACATCTCCAGGCTTCATTGTCTGTCTTTCCTCCTTGCTGCCCGCCTTTGCTTCACTTCCTCACGCTCTGGGCCCCATGCTTTCATCTTGACTTTCCAGCCACTGTGGCACAAACAGGCTGAGGAAAAAGGGCGTCCGTCGCCCATTCTCTAGACACGGGTGCCTGTGGTGAGTTATTTCCTCTGAGTACCTATCGCGCTTGCCCACAAATATACTCCAGAGTTTTCCTTGAACGTTGGGTCTTATAAGACTAGGGATTCGCCAGGCAGTGGTGGCGCACACCTTTAATCCCAGCACTCGGGAGGCAGAGGCAGGTGGATCTCTGGGAGTCTGAGGCCAGCCTGGGCTTCAGATCGAGTTCCAGGACAAGCTCCGAAGCTACACAGAAAAACCCTGTCTCAACCACGCCCCCCCCCCCAAAAAAAAAAGAAAAAAATGAGGGGGGATTCATTAAGGCCACGGGGCATGCATATCATATGCAGCAAATGTTCTGAACAGGCTTGCCCTTCTTTCATGGAAGCTAAAGAAAAAGAGGACACAGGTACCCATGCCCGTGCCTTAGAATCCTCAGAGGATGCGCTGCAGAGGGAGACAAGGATCTGAAAGATGTTTCGAGATATTTCTTGTCTTTCAGATGGGTAGTCATCAGCAAAGCTTCCCCCAGACTGCGTCCTTAGCCACTGCAGTCTCTGGGTCATGGGCCTAAGAATGGAACACTGATATTTTTCTGCACAATGGTTAACCGAATCTCCACAGCTGTGAGCAGACTCTGCATGGGCTCAGTGATCAGACTGGTTTCTTACTGGGGAAGCTTTGGAGGCCAGTTCTGTGTTCCTTAAGTACTTGACAATTTCTCCTGAGAGTTGTCAATAAGGAAGACTTTCGGGAGAGCCTCCAGAAGCAACGAAGTTTTACTGGGTGTAGCAGAAACCCCTGGCTGCTGTAGGGTCTGGAGAACAAAGGGTTAAACTTGAGGACTCTGAAGGCAGAGTGGGATGTTCTGAGTACCTGGGGTGCTTCTCCTAGGTCTGGCTTCCCATGGTTAAGTGGGGGTGGGGGTAGCATCTAGTTGCACTTCAGACATTCCTTCCCCCTGGTCTGGCTATGGCATGGTCACTGTGTCAGGGACTTCTGGAGGACAAAGGTACTGCTATCCTAGTGGCCATGGGTGCCCTTGCACCTTGGGTACCACAAATACTTTTCCTCCCAATCAGATATTCCCTCCCCACACACTAGGGGTGCCTTTAAGCTATTGAGGATCCTCCCTCTCTGTGAGGACAGTGTCACAGGTGCTCCTGGATCCTCCCTCTCTGAGGACAGTGTCACAGGTGCTCCTGGGTGCTCCTTGTTGGCAACCTTGAACACTTGTCCTGATGGTTGTGTGGTGAGATCCAAGAGGAAAGGTGTGTATGAAGAGCCACTGTTGACAAATGGGCAGACTAGTTGGCAGTTGGCAGGCCCAGCATGTGTCTGAAAGGACCTGTAAGCTGCATGTAACCTGTTTCAGTTGGATGACATTAGTCTCAGAGACAGGTCACCTGTCTTCTAGCAATTGTTATTGAGGACTAGATGGGAATAAGCTATCAGAGGCAAACCTGTGAGCTCTCAGCTGTGGCTGGTAATGGGCTAGAGGGATTGGCTTGTGAAGGCTCAGAAGAAAGTTTGAGAATCCCTTGAAGACTCTCAGGGCATTTATATGATCCATGGTTTCTGGTCAGCTGGGGCTGAAGAGTTGGCTGTGATTATTAAAAGAGCAGTGTGATGGAGGCTAATCTTCTGGAAGTAGTTCTTCAGGGTCAGTACACAGGCTGTGGTCAGAGGGACCACGGCTGTATCCCATGCCTGCAGCCAAACTTGGTGATGTGTTCAGAGTCTCCCACAGGACACTGGGTTAGTGGCAAGAGCTGCAGGAGGTGCCAGGACGGGGAGGGCCCCTAAGAGCAGCAGCAGATATGGAGAGGAGCTGTGTGCCGTAGAAGGCAGAGCTGGAAAAGCGCTGCTCAGGCCCTCTGGAGCCCAGACTGTGAGTGGGTCCAGACTGGACACTGAGCTCTGATTGTGACTGTGCCCTGGTTCTTCCCTCTTGGAATTAGGAGGGTAGGTTTGGTCTTTGTTTCTCTGGGATTTCTGCAAATGACCCTGCATTGGTAGGTGGGTGGATCTCAGAAGAAGCAGATGGTACTGGCTTCTGGGCTTCTCCTAGTATACCAACAGGCTAAGGAGTGGGAGTCTAACCTACCTCCTTCCCGAAGCTGTCTCCAACTCTGACTGGTCACTAGATCGTGTGAGGCTGGGGCAGAGCAGCACCCATCACACAGGCCCTGTGAGGGCCTTCCGGTTCCTCTCAGGTTTGTGGGGTCTATTAAAGGAGAACACGGGCAGACAGGAGGGGACTGAGCCATGATGTAGAAATCCTAGTTTAGTCTGGTCTCTCCCTGGGACAGACTAGACCGCACTCGCTGCTCACTGCTGACAGACTGGACATGTTCACCCCGATGAACTGAGGAATCACTGAAGTGAGAAAGCACTTCTGACCCAAGACTTCTCTGTCCTCCTCCATCTCCTTGCAGACAGAACTATCTGGTTCCAAGACAGGTACATTCAGCTGTTCCTCCAGCACGAGGCACGGGTAGATCCTCAGGAATTCACACAACCCTGTCTCTTTTTCCTTGTCAGGAGGCATGGCCCTAGGATCCATGGGACGTTAGCCCTGCAGTAACTGAGACCCACGCATAGTCACAGGGCCTTCTGAGCAGAGGCTGGACAGCAGGGGGATTACAGACCCCATCACTTGGTCACCCCAAGTCTAGCCAGCACTTCAGGGTGAACGTTGGTAAAGCAGAACCTCGTATCAGTTTGATCCTTCTTCTTTTTTTTTTTTTTTTAAATTATTTATTGTGTATACAAGTGTTCTTTCTACCTGCATATATGCCTACAGGCCAGAAGAGGGCACCAGATCTCACTACAGATGGTTGTGAGCCACCATGTGGTTGCTGGGAATTGAACTCAGGACCTCTGGAAGAGCAGCCACTGCTTTTAACCTCTGAGCCATCTCTCTCTCCAGCCCCAGTTTGATCCTTCTTGACCATGGATGCTCACGATCTGGAAAAGTTTAAATGCATGACTCAATAGGTAAGACTCACCTGCATAAAACAAGGAGGCAGGTTGGGTCCAGCCAGTTTCCCTGGACTCAGCAGTGTTTCCTGGTCAGTTTGAGAGAGAAACGAATGTCTTTTGTAGATACAGTAAGTTGTCAGGTGCTGTTTGAACTCACCGAGATGCTGGCTCTGGAGGTGGGATTCGGCCCTCCCACTTCAGACCCAACCATGTTTTGTCTCAAAATGTCTTCCAAGGCTCCTTTTCCTAAGTCAGTCTGTCCCCAACTTTGTGACAGGAAGAAAGGACAGCAAAATAGCCAGAGTAAAGGCCTGTATCCACGAGTAATACAGCTCTGTCTCTGTTACATGTTCATTCAAAACCAAAAGCAGTTAGGGTAGATCACTCCACGTACTGTATGAAGACTGTCCTGTGTTCTTTATAAGGTTTACCTGGGAACTTACCAAGCCCCTTAGTTTAACAGCATGTACACATGTAATCACACAGGTAATGATAATTTATTATGTGTTTAGTTTAAGTTCAACTTTCTTTTATTAAGGTGGTGTTGATGTTCCATAAGATGGCTACATGTGTTTCCAAAAATGAAAAAGAAAGCTGGGAAGTGACAGGGACCTGAGCAAGTCATATATATATAAGGCATGTAGGTCAGAGTTTGTTTGGTTGGTTTTGTGTTTTTAAGACAGGAACAGCCCGGCTGTCCTGGAAATTGCTCTGTAGACTAGGCTGGCCTCGAACTCACAGAGATCTGCCTGCCTCTGCCTCCCTAGTAGTGGCATTAAAGGTGTGCACCACTACTGCCTCGTAGGTCAGAGTTCAATACACTGATGTCATACCTTGGCTTAAATTGATGGAGTTACTGGTCTATTCTCCATAACAATTCCAAGAACTGGCTTACAGAAGAAAAATGTGTATTTAATCAAAGTTGAAGTGCTTGGTTTTTGCACAAGCTTTATCTAAACATCACACAGTCACTACAGGACCAGACAGATACCTTCCGGGTGTTCAGTAACCACATGCAGAGGCTAGACTAACGTGGTCAGAGGGACGACAAGGCAGAATCTTGCCACCTTGCCCTTCAGAGTCAGTTAGGTTTTGGGATTGAAGGGTGTCTCTCAAATGTTAAACTGTGTGTGTGTGTGTGTGTGTGTGTGTGTGTGTGTGTGTGTGTGTGTGTGTGTGTGTGTCTCCTATTCCTTTGTTCAGGACCATGGATACCCCACATGGTGAGCTCTCCCCAGTCTACAAAGAGGAGGGTCAATACAGAGGAAAAAGGTGCTCCATGCTTCCAAGCAAAGCCCAGGTCAAGCAAGGCCTTTGACTTGTTCTCACATAGATGGAGAAACTAGTACAAGGAGCCAGAGGAGCCAGAGGTTCCTCTCAAGCCTGTGACCCGAGGAGCAGATCCCCAAATGGTCTTGACAGTGAAACAAACAAAAACCGTGATTGATTGTGGCCCACTTATGGTCCTGAACACCCAGCAGGAACGTACAGCCAGGAAGTCGGATGGTCAGCCTGTCTCTTTAACAGTTTACGGCAGTAGTTCTCAACCTGTGGATCGCAACCGTTGGAAAACACTTATTTCTGATGGTCTTAGGAACCATGACACCGCTCAGTAGCCAAATTAGTTATGAAGTAGCAATGAAAATAAACTTATGGTTGGAGGGTCCTGAGACCATTGGGGATGTGTTTCCTGGTGGTCACGACCCACAGGTTGAAAGCCGCTGGCTTAAGGGCATCACACCTGCTACACATTAGGCTTAGGTCCATCTGAGATGTTCACACCGTTTCTAACAATTTTCTTTTTACTAAGAAAAATGCGTCCGTGGTGGAGCACCACACCCTTGCCTGAACTCCTCTATCCAATACTGCAGCACCCACCTGTAGCCAAAAGAGGCAGGTCTGAAAAAGAAAAAACTAGAAAAAATCCAGTGACAGTTAAATTTCTTCTCTTTCTGCCTCTCTAGAAGCTGCCTGGGAGGGACCTGGAAGTGAGTCTATCCACTCCACAGCCCTGAAATGCCAGAAAGCAGATCCTGGGCTTACCACTCTGGGCCAGGCGTGGATGTGGGACTTTCCTGGGAATGGTTGCTCTACAAGTGTAGGGATGCTGGAGTGCAGGAATGCCAGCCCCTCCAGGGATCCCAATCTACAGCTGATGCAACAGGGTCCTCTCCACAGCAACCACACTGAAGGTAGGACCTGGTGTTAGAGAGGCTTTATGGACCAAGGTTCCTAACCTTTCTGCCTCCATTTCCCAGGTTTTGGACTTACAAGTGTTAAGTTTTTCTGCCCAACTATTTTAATTTCTGAAAACTTCAAAGTTGTTTTTTTTTTTGTTTGTTTGTTTGTTTGTGACATGATTTCTCTGTGTAGCTTTGGAGCCCTCCTGGATCTCGCTCTGTAGACCAGGATGGCCTCCAACTCACAGAGATCTGCCACCGCCACCGCCACCACCTGGCCTGATTTTTTAAAGTTTTTGAGTGTCTCACTCTAGCCCTGACTGGATTTGAACTGGTGACAGTCTTCAAGCCTCAGTTTCCCAGGGGCCATGATAAAGCCCCTGGTTCTATTCCTAACCCTGAGGACCAAGCATGGGGGCTTTCACCTGTAATCCCAGCGTAAGGAGGTGTTCACAGGCATCCTTAGTTACAGTGAGTCTGAGGCCAGTCTGGGTCAGGAGATCTCGTCTCCAAACAGAAAACCTTTGATTTCTGATTTTTTTCTCCCTTCGGTTTTTTTTTTTTTTTTTTTTTTTTAAATTTATTATGTATACAGTGTTCTCCTCTGCATGTATCTCTGCAGGCCAGAAGAGGCCACCAGATCTCATTACAGATGGTTGTGAGCCACCATATGGTTGCTGGGAATTGAACTCAGGACCTTTGGAAGAGCAAACAGTGCTCTTAACCTCTGAGCCACCTCTCCAGCCCCTCCCTTTGGTTTTTCAAGACAGGGTTTCTCTGTGTAGTTTTGGTGCCTGTCCTGGATCTCACTCTGTAGACCAGGCTGGCCTCGAACTCAAAGAGATCCACCTGGCTCTGCTTCCCAAGTGCTGGTATTAAAGGCGTGCGTCACCACCGCCCAGATTCTGATTTTTATAAATGTGGTATTTTTCTTGGTTTCCTTTTTGGATTGTTCCTTACTGACTTAGTCAGCTCTAAGTTTTTTACATGAGTGTGCTACCTGTGGAAGACAGGCTTACAAAAAATAATCTTCGTTTTGAATCTGGATGCCTTTTCTCTGCTTTATTGATGGTAGCAAAGTAGTGTACCCATCTTGTTCAGGATCTAAGCTAGAATCTCAGCATTATCATGGCAGCTCTGCCTATGTAGCCTAGTGATGCTGAGAGGCTTCCTATCATCGCATTTCCCGCTTTTCTATCACAGGGATGTGCTGTTTGTTGTTTCCAAACCTTTCTGAGGGAGCAACAGTGAACCACAACTAAGCCCTAGGAAGTGAACCAGCTCCTGGTGGTAGTGTGGCTCAGTCAGTGGTAGAGCATGTGCTTGCCTAGCAACAAGAACCTTCTGAATCTTGTAATGTAGAGTGAAGGTGCAGAGCCCCCGCTACAGGACGGGGCAGGACAGACTCCCCCGTAGCCTTCCAGCTCTCAGCATACTCTGCCTGGCAGAGACCATAATCACAAACCAGGTCATAGGAAATACCACTTAGAGTTGCTGGTGGTGTTGGATGTTTCTGTGGTACTGGGTGCAATCCAGAGCCTCACCAGGCAAGTGGGAGCCTCCCAAGTCCTAAGCCCCCAGAATTTGACTGAGGTGGCCCTTAATCACTACTAGCTCAGGAACGTGCTCACTGAAGTGTTCTGTTTTTAAAAAGAATGTGGAAAGCTGGATGTATGTAGAGGACTGTTTTTTTTTTTGAGACAGGGTCTCTATAGCCCAAATGTCCTAGAACTCACTACATAGACCAGGCTGGCCTAGAACTCACAGAACACCACCTACCTCTGCCTCCAGAGATTAAAACCCTATACCACCTCCCCCAGCCTTATATTTAAATCTTTTGAGACAGGTTTCACAAAACTATGTAGCCCAGGCTAGCCCTGAACTCCCCTTCCTCCTGCCCTAGCCTCCCTGGTGTTCTGTCATGTCTATCTTGGGGAAATGTTTTTTTTTTTTTTTTTTTTTTAAATCAGTTGAAGTCTGGCTAGATTTCAGATACAGGGCCGACCCCAAATGTTCAAGGGATCCTGCCTTAGCCTTCTGTTTCATCTGCCTGCAAGTATGTCACAATGCCCAGAAAGATGTAATTTTTAACAATGAGTCTGTGCCAGGGGGGCAGGAGAAGGAAGGAAGGAAAGCAACAG